TGGTGTGGGGGGGTGTGGTGTGTGTGGGTGTGTGTGTGTGTGTGTGTGTTGTGTTGTGGTGTGTGTGTGTGTGTGTTTGTGTGTTGTTTTTGTTTTTGGTGGGGTGGGTGTGGGGTGTGTGTGTGGGTGTTGTGTGTTGTGTGTTTGGGGTGGTTGTGGTGGGGGGGGGTGTGTGTGTGTGTGTGTGTGTGTGTGGGTGTGTGTGTGTGTGGGGGGTGTGTGGGGGGTTGGGTGTGGGTGTGTGTGTGTGGGGGGTGTGTGTGTGGTGGTGTGTGGGGGTGTGTGGTGGGTGTTTTGGTGTGTGTGTGTGGGGGGTTTTGTGTGTGTTTGGGGTGTGTGTGTGTGGTTGTGGGTGTTGTGTGTGTGTGTTGTGTGTGTGTGTGTGTGTGTGTGTGGGTGTGTGGGGTTTGTGTGTGGTGTGTGTGTGTGTGTTGGTTTTTTTGTTAGTGGTTGTGTGTGTGTGGTTTTTTTTTTTTTTTTGGGGGGGGGGGTTGTTTTTTATTTTTTTTTTTTGTTTTTTTTTTTTTTTTTTTTTTTGGTGTTTTTTATTTTTGGTGGGGTGTTGGGGGTGTTGTTTGTGGGGTGGGTGTGTGTGTGGGGTTTTGTGTGTGTGTGGTGTTGTGTGGGTTGGGTTGTGTGTTTGTGAATGTGGGGTGTGGGGGTTGTGGTTTTGTGTGTGTGTTGTGGGTGTGTGTTTGGTGTTGTGTTGTGTTGTGTGTGGTGGTGTGTGGTGTTGTGTGTGTGGGGTGGGTGTGTGGTGGTGTGTGTGTGGTGGGTGGGTGTGTGTGTGGTGGTGGTGTGTGTGTGTGTGTGTGGGGGTTTGTGTGGGGTGTGTGTGTGTGGTGTGGTGTGTGTGGGTGTGTGGGTGTGTGGGGTGGGGGTTGGTGTGTGGTGTGTGTGTGTGTGTGGGGTTTTGGGGGGTTTGTGGGGGGGGGTGTGGTGTGTGTGTGGGGGGGGGTGTGTGTGGTGGGTGGGTGTGTGGTGGGGGGTGGGGGTTGTGTGGTGGGGGGTTGTGTGCGGTGGTGGGGCTGTGGGTGTGGGGGGGTGTGGGTGTGTGTGTGTGGTGTGTGTGTGGTGTGTGTTGGGTGGTGGGGTGGGTGGTGTCGGTTGTGTGTGTGTGTGGGTGTGGTGGGGTGTGGGTGGGTTGCTGGTGTGGTTGTGTGTGTGTTGGGGTGTGTTGTGTTTTGTGTGGTTGGTGGTGTGTGTGGTGGTGTGTGTGGTTTTGTGTGTGTGGGTTGTGGTGTGGGGTGGGGGGGTGGTGGCGTGGGGGTGTGTGGTGTGGGTGTGTGTGGTTGGGGGGCGTGTGTGGTGTGGTGGAGGGGGGTGGTGGTGGGTGGTGGTGTGGGGTGGGGTGCGGTGTTGTGGGGTGGGTGTGTGTGTGTTTGGGGTGGGTGGTGTTGTGTGGAGTGTGTTTGTCAGGCGGCGCGGGTGTGATGCGTGAGTGCGTGCGTTTGGTGCGTGTGCGTGAGTGGTGCGTGCGTGCGTGGCGTGGGGGTGTGTGCGTGCGTGGTGTGCTTGTGTGTGATTGTGTGTTGAGGGTGGCTTACATGGTTCTAAGTTTCAAGGCGAAACCCAACTCTCCCAGACAGCTCCAGGCAGAAGGACCGCTCCTGTTGTTGTTTCCCTTCTCCTGCATTCCTGTCTTCCCCCGACGTGTGGAGGAGAGGAGGAGAGGAAAGGAAGACAGAAAATAAAGGATGAGAAGGGTAACAGGTTGATTCATGCCAAACTGACAGCCCACGCTTTCTCTCTCTCCCAAGACCCAACCACCCCATCCCTGTCCCTGTCCCTGCAACTACACAGAGATACATCAGATCAGATCTGAACTCACACACACACACACACACACACACACACACACACATACACACACACTTCACATACTTCTCTGAACTGACACATTCCGTGAAAACTGTGTACTGCTGCACTGCCAGGACTCATAACAAACAAGGTTCAACCTTCCACTAGCTATTTCTGAGTTGCGTGTATGGGCCATAAAGCTGAGAGGAAACCAACAATAGTGTATGGGCCATAAAGCTGAGAGGAAACCAACAATAGTGTATGGGCCATAAAGCTGAGAGGAAACCAACAATAGTGTATGGGCCATAAAGCTGAGAGGAAACCAACAATAGTGTATGGGCCATAAAGCTGAGGGGAAATCAACAATAGTGTATGGGCCATAGAGCTGAGGGGAAACCAACAAAAGTGTATGGGCCATAAAGCTGAGGGGATACCAACAGTAGTGTATGGGCCATAAAGCTGAGGGGAAACCAACAATAGTGTATGGGCCATAAAGCTGAGGGGAAACCAACAATAGTGTATGGGCCATAAAGCTGAGGAGAAACCAACAATAGTGTATGGGCCATAGAGCTGAGGGGAAACCAACAAAAGTGTATGGGCCATAAAGCTGAGGGGATACCAACAATAGTGTATGGGCCATAAAGCTGAGGAGAAACCAACAATAGTGTATGGGCCATAGAGCTGAGGGGGAAACCAACAAAAGTGTAGGGGCCATAAAGTGAGGGGAAAACCAACAAAAGTGTATGGGCCATAAAGCTGAGGGGATACCAACAATAGTGTATGGGCCATAAAGCTGAGGGGAGACCAACAATAGTGTATGGGCCATAAAGCTGAGGGGAGACCAACAATAGTGTATGGGCCATAAAGCTGAGGGGAGACCAACAATAGTGTATGGGCCATAAAGCTGAGGAGAAACCAACAATAGTGTATGGGCCATAGAGCTGAGGAGAAACCAACATAGTGTATGGGCCATAAGCTGAGGGGAGACCAACATAGTGTATGGCCATAAAGCTGAGGGGAGACAACAATAGTGTATGGGCCATAAAGCTGAGGGGAAACCAACAATAGTGTATGGGCCATAAAGCTGAGGGGAAACCAACAAAAGTGTATGGGCCATAAAGCTGAGGGGATACCAACAGTAGTGTATGGGCCATAAAGCTGAGGGGAGACCAACAATAGTGTATGGGCCATAAAGCTGAGGGGAGACCAACAATAGTGTATGGGCCATAAAGCTGAGGGGAGACCAACAATAGTGTATGGGCCATAAAGCTGAGGGGAGACCAACAATAGTGTATGGGCCATAAAGCTGAGGAGAAACCAACAATAGTGTATGGGCCATAACGCTGAGGGGAGACCAACAATAGTGTATGGGCCATAAAGCTGAGGGGAAACCAACAATAGTGTATGGGCCATAAAGCTGAGGGGAGACCAACAATAGTGTATGGGCCACAAAGCTGAGGGGAAACCAACAATAGTGTATGGGCCATAAAGCTGAGGGAAACCAACAATAGTGTATGGGCCATAAAGCTGAGAGGAAACCAACAATAGTGTATGGGCCATAAAGCTGAGGAGAAACCAACAATAGTGTATGGGCCATAAAGCTGAGGGGAAACCAACAATAGTGTATGGGCCATAAAGCTGAGAGGAAACCAACAATAGTGTATGGGGCCATAAAGCTGAGGGATACCAACATAGTGTATGGGCCATAAAGCTGAGGGGAAACCAACAATAGTGTATGGGCCATAAAGCTGAGAGGAAACCAACAATAGTGTATGGGCCATAAAGCTGAGGGGAAACCAACAATAGTGTATGAGCCATAAAGCTCAGGGGAAACCAATAATAGTGTATGGGCCATAAAGCTGAGAGGAAACCAACAATAGTGTATGGGCCATAAAGCTCAGGGGAAACCAACAATAGATTATTTAAAAGAGCACGTGAAGAGTGTGGACAAAGAGTTACTTTTCTCTTCAAATTCTGACCCCTGCTGGTTGACAGTGATAACCCACTGGGCACAGAGGTCATTTCAACGTCTAGTTTTGATTTACATTTGGTTGAGTTGTCAACTAATGTGAATTCAATGTGAAATCAACAAAACATGTAACCATGTCATTGGATTTAGGTTAGAAGTTGGGTGAAAAAAAGACAACATTTTCTGACGTTGATGACTTTTTGTAAATCCAATCAGTTTTCCACGTTGATTCAACTCCATCACATTGAATTTCTTTGTTGAAATTAGGTGGAAACAACATTGATTCAACCAGTTTTTGCCCAGTGGGAAACCATCTCTAAAGTAGTTGATTTCTAGAACCTCTATTCCCTGCTTAATTTCTCCAGGGGATTGAAATGTGACTCTTTAGATGTTTGGATGACTGACTGACTGCCTGACTGACTGCCTGACTGCCT